GTGGGGTCTAGAAAAGCTATTTTTGGAGTTTGTTCAGGACATCCTCTCCCCCTAACAAAATTACTAAAACTCGATTAAGCTCATGGTCTCCCTTACCATTGTCATACATTCATCTTTGACTACTTAACTGGTTGCATGTTACTATGACGGGGGAGCTGATACTCACTAGTGTGTATGATTCTGTATGCAAGCAAGAAGAAAAGGCAGAAGTGACTTTGTCAGGTTATTAAAGGTAATTGTCTGGTGGGGGGTAAATTCTAACTTAATTTTCTTTGTATGTATTACTGGTTATGGTGGGTACATGTCCATTTTATAGTCCAGGAGGAGGAATTCAATTAAAGTTTTTACAGGAGAATTTAAAAATACATATATTTGCTTGAGAGACTTGGAGTCGATTCTCATTGAGTTTTATTATCCCACAGGGAGCCTTGTTTCATAACATCTCTTGGGTTCACAAGGAGGTCTCTTTCTTGTACATGACAAAACCCAATGTTTATAAACAGGAAACTGTCTTCCCTGTATTCTTGACTTAGACGCCTTGTTTTATTCAACTCGAAAAATTCCTTTGGAAAATTCTTACTGAAAATTATGCAGAATAGATACCTTCTTTCATAAAGTTTGCAGTCATTTGGAATGTGTCTGTCACTTCCACCCTCCATTAAGTTTAATGTCCTAATCCACATCAACAGTGAAGACAACTCACCTAGTCTGAACTGTAGCAATTCTAACATATCAGTCTTTCTTTCTAACCATTATCAAGACAGTATGTATGAATAAGTATGGATGTTACTGGCTTAATGGAGCTCTTGTTGAAAACTTTATCTTTAAAAATTATTTTTTTTTTAATTTATACATACAAGAGCTGGGGTGTAGGCCAGAGTTGTGGGGTGGTGAGAGCATTCACCAGACAGAGTGGGGAGCAAAATAGGCAGATCTCCTGAAATACACTGCTGAGGGGAGCAGCAGGGAGACAGGAGAGGTCTGCTACACCCTGTGGGTCAGCTCCTGGCCAGGGATTGAACTCATGCTACAGTGGTTGCTGATAGTTTAACCCCTTGCACCACCAGGGAGGCCCCTTCAATATTTTATTGAAAACTTTAGATTTGTGTTTTCCTCCAAAATATCTGTGCAATAAGGCTGAATTTTAATATAAAATGCTCCATAGGAAGTACATTTATTCATAAGGGGAGAATATCTGTACTTTAAGCTAGGAAAACCAAAAGTATTTTTCCCAGGTATTACACCTCATCAATCTAAATGAGGTTCAAGCCAAGTACAGGTGAAGATTGCTTCCTGGTAACATATAACAGAAAAGTTGAGTTAGAGAGAAAGAAAAATATTCAACCTTTCGGTTATTCCCAACTACGCAGATTTTATCAGAATGGCACCTCTGTGGTGGTTGCAGATGTTTGTACCAGTGATTTTTATCAAGATTGGGATCAACATGGCTTCATATTGTTCATCAGGAATGAAATATAAATTAAGACTCTGATAGACAGTGGTTTTCCAGCTTGAGCATGCATCAGAATCACTGCAGGATAGTAGTAGTGTCCAAGTTAGCTTGCAGTTAGAAGCTTTTAGGGGTCCTGCTGCACTGGGGCATAAAAGGTCTTGGTCCCTGGGAGTGCTTTGTACAGAAAAGGAAGAGTCAGGACAGCAAAGAACCCTGTTAAGAAAACTGGATCTCAGTTTTCTCATTTTGAGATCTCAAACTCCACTCCCAGTCACTGAACCAGAAAAAACTGAAGCAATATTTGTTTCTAAGCCCACTTGTGTCAGCACGTGCAGGGAAAATGGGTGCCTGGGGCTGATCAATTAAATCAGGTCCTGGTGTCACTCACGGGGAAGCTAGGAAACCTGTACGGAATGTAGACTTTGGAACCAAACACTCTCACTTCCAAATTTAGCTTTGGTGGAGTGGTCACAGCTGTCCAATGTCATTCACATTATCCTTATTTGTGAGAGGAACAAAAACTATGCTTTCTTCACCCGGTTCTTGCAATTAAGAAACATAATTCCATTAAGGGATCCAGTCAATATATTATCTGATACTCTTAGCTTCCTTATCCAGTTCCTTGTAAACTATTGACAGTGAAAAGAATTAAACCAACTAATGAACTGACGCTAACCACACTTTGACTAGCCGCCTTTGAATTTTTTTCCTTTGGTTTCCTTTTGAATAATTGACATAGGATGTTATATTGGCAAAAATCATGATTCAATATTTGTATACATTGTGAAATGATCATTACAAGTCTAGTTACTATCTATCACACTACGAAGTTTGTCTTCAGGATATACTCACTTGACCCCACCCCTTAACCCATTCTGCCCACCCCCTTGAACCCTTTTCACGACTACCTTTCTATTTTATTTGTTTGGTTTGGTTTTAGATTCTGCCTGTAAGTGCAATCATACAGTATTTGTTTGCCTTATTTCACTTAGTAGTATTCCTGCTATATCCATCCATGTTGCCCAAATAGCAATATATTTTTTTTATGACTGGGTAGTATGCCAAAATGTGTGTGTGTACACACTCTATATCACCTTTACCCATTCCATCATTGGACACTTAAGTTTCCATAATTTTTTGTGAATGATGCTGTAAAGAACATAGTATTGTTTTCAAATACCTACAAGTGGAACTACTGGATCATACGGTAGGGTCTATTTTTAATTTTTTGAGGCACCTCCATACTGCTATACATAGTAGTTGCACCAGTTTACATTGCCACCAACAGGGCACAAGGACCTGTTTTTTTTTTTTTCTCATCACTCCTTATTTCTTGTCTTTTTGATGATAGCCTTTGTAACAATTGTGGTTTTGATTTCCATTTCTGATTAGTGATGTTGAGCAACTTTTCATGTCTGTTGGCCATTTGTGTGTTGTCTTTGGAATGTTTACATAGTTATTTTTCTGCATTATAACCTTATTAGATAAGAACAAGTATTTTTTTCTGTTTCAGTAGGTTTTGTTTTCTGTGCAAAGCTTTTTAGTTTAATGTAGTGACATTTATTTTTGCTTTTGTTGTTTTCGCTTTGGAAGACATTTTCAAGGATTCAGTGCCCAGGCCAATGTCAAATAGCTTACCACCTATATTACTTTGTAGATGTTATGGTTTTAGGTCTTACATTCAAAAATCCATTTTAATTTTTGTTTGTAGTGTATCTGTAAGGTAGTATCCAGTATTCCCAAGCACCACTTATTGTAGACACCATCCTTTTCCCATTATATATTGTTTTCTTTGTCATAGATAATTGACCATATATGTATGTGTGTATTACTGAGTTCTCTGGGGACATGTAAGTATGGACTGTGTATGAGATACTAGGGAACTATTCCTGTTGTTATACCTGTAGGCTTGTGGTTACCAAAAGGTACATCTATTATGAGATTTGTCCTGAAGTATTTAGGAGCGAGCAGTCATGATGGCTTAGTTAACCATCTATTGTCCGGCTCCCACCCCCCCGCCGCCTTTTTTGAGTTCTAGTGGGAGGGTAAATGGTGTTCACTGGTCTTTCAATTGTGCAATTTTGAAATCTTTCAAAATGAAAATCGTTAATATGGATTTATTACATTAACACAGCTATATAACCATGTTGGCTTTTTGGCTCATAAACAGAATTTTAGCCACTAAAAAGGACTGACCAGGAGCTTAGGGTGTGTTGGCCCATGGTAGTATCTCTCCATGCCTCACACCTGGTTCATTCCAGGAGGCCGTCTTTGCCTTTTTTCCTGCTGAGTGTTCTGTAGCACAAGACACCAGGGCTCCACTCCCCTTGAACTCAAAAAGAAAAAAAAAAAAAAGAGGCAACTTTTGTTCAGCTAAATTGTCTCTTTATTAGGAAAGCACCAACACCACATTCTTGGAAATTACTGGAATTTTATTTGCCTCAGGCTTATGACTGGCAACCAAAGACATTGTGCAAAGAAAGCAAAGATTAAGTACACTTTAGGGAGGAGACGATACACATTGGTAACATAGGAGAGATCAGGTTGACGAAAGAAGCCATCCAGTACACTATATAGATTGCAATATTCAATAGCGTTTTCAACAAAAATTTTAAATCAAGAGCAAAAAAATTAAGCAATGTTTACAGTAGACATAAATCTTATACAATTTAAAAAGCATTTTTTTTCAGATCAGAGCATAAAATGGAAAAATGTATATGCAGGTGAAGTCTAACTACTGTACATTTATCACCTATCAAAGTTGCTTATATGTACCACAGTGTAAAAAACAAACAATACCGAACAAATAAAAACCTTGAAAATTGCCTGATGAAAAATAAAATAACCAGTGGCTTTTAATGGCTTCTCCTGGTTATCAGTGCTACAAAAGACAAAAATCTTCTCATCTGAACAGGTGATAAAACCAGGCACAATCAAACCATTACCAAATTAGACCCACCCTTAGAAATATACTATCCGCCCACGTATTTTCCATCAAAAGCTTTTTTGTTTTAATCTTTGAATCTTTGAGGCCCATTTGGTCACAATATGTTACAAATATTTGTGTGTGTGTGTGCGTTTTTTTTACACCATGATATCATATGTTGTCTGGCACTATCCTAAAGCTAATTTATAGATGATGATGATGATATAGAAACAACCCAGGGCCCATGTCACAAGTGAACTCACTGGGTAGGTGAGAGGGAAGGGAGGAATTCAGTTCTACCAAGGAAAAAAGGTCCATACTGATCACTCATCATCAGTTCCACTTGCTTCTGACTGTTCCTAAAAGTAAAAATAAAAAATTACATGCTGGAAAATGAAGGTATAATAAACCATCAAGAGGCAATGTAGAAATGAAAGCTTAGAAACAGTTGACCCTCCAAGTTTCTTCATTCTGTAGGAAGATTAAAAAAAGTAACGAAACATCAACAGTCTGTGTGGAAATCCCAAAGCAATAAACACCCTCTCTGCTAGCGTTTTTTTCTTTCATTTTGGTATGAAAAATTTGCGGCTAATAACTTCTATTTTTATCATTACATTTTAGAAAATTCATGGGAGATAGAAGTACCATGGCTTTGATGTCTACTCACTGGTAAGTCTTCTAGAGAACATAGTATTTTATATTTTTATAATTCTCTTTACTATTCTATTCTGGAAATAAGAAAATAGACACTTATGCTTTCCCAATGAAATACATTTTACTTCAAGCTACTTTAAAAACTTTTTTAAAGAATTGTAAGTATTTCCAGCTAAAGAGTCTTAGTAAGCCATTTTAATAATTTTAGATGCTGTATGTTCTATAATTGAAATTTGAATACATGAAATCTCTTCTTTTCCCCACCAGCATTTCTTTGCATACCACCTTGTTCTTTTTTCCCCTCAAAGCCCAGCAGTTTAAATGTTCTTGAAAATGCTCATGTCAAGGGTTAAGGCTGGGTAGACTAGAATAAGAATTCTGAATTTCTTTCATCAAGCCAAAATGGAAATGTGTTGTAGGAAAATCAAACTAGCATGCATAGTAAAATGTTAAATCATGTTTCCAGAGAAAGAAGCAGAGGGTGGGAAGTGTATGACATGAGGCGGGGGGGGTGCATCAAAAGCAAGGTCTTAGAAGTTCATCTATTTACTTACCTATAGCAAAACACAGCTATAACCCAAGCACTGAGTTCTGTAATACACTGGCAGTGACATTTCATGCTGCTAATAAAAACATTAAATATGGTGCCATATGGGAAGGTACTTACTACAGGGTTTGGCTCAATAAAGCTCCCTGATTTTTTAAAATATTAAAAATAACACCTCTAGGTTCTTAAGGTGGCATAGAAAAACCCAGATGAACTTTTAAGTAACACCTCCAACTAAAAGCCCTGCAATCCTAACACTTTCCTCATTCTTCCATGTAATCAGCAGCTCCTCTCATATACTGCTGTAGTCCAGGTGCTGTGATGGGCATAAAAGAACAAGTGCCCATGGAGAACACTTGATTGAGGAGCTTTTCATCTTTAAACCCTTTTAAAAGCAATAAACAAAGCCCTGGATTCTTTGTTATAAATCATGCAGCTCTGTTCACATCCCTCAGTAATGAAATCTCATCAAATCTTTCCACTTTATTACCCAGAAATGAGACTGCAGAGGCGCGAAGGGGCACAGGTAGAGGGGTGAGCGGAGAGGGGTGCCTGCGCTGCACTCACAACCAGCTCCACTTACGTTTTCATCCTGTTCTTCATCACTGTCGAAGTCACTCACGACAGGTTTGGCTTTTCCTCGATTTGGCCTTTTCTTGCCTTTTCCTTTGTCCCGGCCTTTCTCATCTTTTTTATTGAGCTTGATTTTTACTTTAACAGATTTTGCTGCAAGAACCAAATAAAAGAGAGAGAGCAATGAGGAATCACAGGGAAATCTCTTTCCAGGTAGGAGAAACATTTTCGACCTGCAGATAAAATACATGTCCAGGAATGCCCAGAACGTTCTTGATTTATGCCTGTCTGTTGTCCAGTCTAGTTAACAGCTCACCTGCACACATCTCTCAGTTTGAGGGTCCTTTTCCTGCCTCCTAATAGCTGCACAGGAATCTGCTTAAACAGGATAAGGAGGGCTGTTGGCATGTACTTAATTGAAATTTTAGGTTAAGAAGTATCAGTGTAAAGGGTTAAAAGGGCTAATTTTACTGTGTAGATAATTCCAATCACCTTGAACAAAAAATTCAAAATAGCTGAACAATATTCTTAATACAGAAAAATGCAAAATGATAAAATGAAAATTTTTCCTCAATTTTTCTTCAATCTTAACTCTATTTTTTTAAAAAATAGTGGAGATAACCTAATCACCAGAAAGAAAAAAAAGAGCAGCACATTCACACCTGTGTATAGGTGTTTATATATATATGATTCTGTCTATATTCTTAGATTCCATAATATTCTCTATGGAGAGAATAATTCAAACACACATACACTTTATCATCCCAGATTCATACATTTTAAACACATACGTGGGACATTCCTCTGTTCACCTCAGATACCTGCCTCATTCTTTTTAACACTTGTAAGTTCTCTGTCATAGGGACATTTGATTTGACCAGCTTTTTGCCAGTACAAAGCTGCTACAAACCTATTAGTTGATACATCCACCATACCTCTCCCAAATTCTTCCAACATGTATATGTGGAGAAGATCATCCTTATTAATTATCATCCTTCAAAAGGATGGTACCCATTTCTGCTCCACAGGGCTGTTGGGAGGGTAGAAACAAGGACACATGGAAGAGTTTCAATATGCTGTACCACAGACAGAAGCATATCCCAAGTTACAAAGAAAATCTGGCCCAGGGTACATCATTCTGGGATACGTGACCACAGAATATCATTTTTAGGATTTAAAATGAAGTTTGTAAGTCTCTAATTCAAACCAGTTTTGCTAGAACAGCATGTTTGGTAGGTCTTAAGGTACCTAGAAATAGGTGTTGTCATGGAGGAAATCATAGTTCTAAAAGGATCTTTGACTTTTTTGTGACATGGCGGGATCTACATGTCATTTACAAAAAATCCTCCATGCAAGTGTAGGCTAACAAAAAAGGGTTGAATTCTGAGTTGCTTTGATCTGAAGCATTGTGGTGTATGTCTTGCCCCCAGCCCCAATGGGGCAAAGGCTGCATGTCCCGTTATGTAAAATTGTATTCCTGGTCAAGGCTTCTGCCTATTGTATCCAACTGTCTATTTATCGAGCTGTTGGGAGTCTATTGTTTTGGTTGGAGTAATTTAGAAAAAGAAGAGATTGGGAATGAAAAGATCTACCTATTAATGGAAATGTATGAAATCATGGGAAGGTATGAAAATGCATCCTCACAAACATAACTAGAATGTAAACATACGCAAAGGTATGTTTTACAGTTATTGGGCGTTCTGTGTCAGTGATGGCCCTCCAAACCCCTCACTGGGAAGGCTGCCTTGGACAGTTAGGCTAATGGTGGTAGAAAGAAAAGTAACCCTCCAGAGAGCTCAAAGTGATGGTCATTAAGATGATCACTGCACTTGAGACAGGATGAACAGAGAGAGAAATATAAGAAAATACCAAAGAGAAGTCACAGTGCTAGAAAACACACTAGGGGGCTCAACAGATAAGAAGCAGAAGGAAGAAACAGAAATGAAAGAACTGAGGACAGCTCCAGGGATTGAGAGGACAGCATTCTCATATAGGGGTCCCAGCAGAGGAGAGAGACAGGTGCTGAAGGAAGGAAACAGACACCAGTATTTAGAAAGGTTGGAGAGTTCCAAATAAGAGGACCCCCTTCCCCACCGCCCTAGGTGATCAACACCAATAAGCTCTATAATTCAAATGTCAAAAACTGAAGACAAGGGGAAAAATCTTAAAGGTGACTAGAGAAAAAAATGTTATGTACAAAGGAAATCCCCATAAGACCGTCAGCATATATTTATGTGTAAGAATATTTAGGACACTATTATTTAGAGCGAGATCAATACACTTTGGCATATTCATTAATAAATATTAATAAGTTATTGCTCTAGGAAAACACTCATTGCTCTGGGAAAATGTTTGCAATAGAAAATCACTCTACAAAGCAGTGCCTTATACTTTGAGAATTTGGTTTCCAGATTTTTTTCTGTATTTCAAAAAGTGTTAAACGTGTATTAGGTAATGCTTAGAAACTTTTTTTTTAGAAAGGCAAATTTGTATAAATTGTACTAAGAATGTAATTAGGAACAAATATAATGAATTATAAAAGCATAGTTACAGTTTTATATAGCAGACCACATACTACTGGGATTTATTAATTTGAGAGGATGTATGAGGTGAAAACAAATAGGAAATTTTAGACTTTTGAGGAGTCTTAACCTTTGAAATATAGGGTTATTAATCAGGGCCAGGAGTCTGGTTAAGATACAAGAGCTATTCGCATTGGGTATATAGAATTTTAAGAGGGCACCCAAACTCAGAAAACAAGATAAAGGATATTCTAATGCAGTATTTTAAAAAACTTGTCATGGATTTTTTGCATTAAAAGAACATCAACCTTTTAAATAGAATCAGTATCTGATTAATGATGGATAAAATAGGCCATGGTTCCAACTCAGTTGACAATTATTTTCTAAAGCACTGAGTTTCAAAGTGACATCTTGGCCCAGGAGGGAACTTGTATCCCCTGTGAACTTCTTACAGATTCACACAATCACTACCTGGACCTACTGAAGCAAACTCAGGGGGTGGGGCCCAGTAATCAGGGCTCTATTGGTCCCTCCAGGTTAGAGAACCACTGTGCTAGAGAACAGGTAACACACTTTGGGGGTGGGAAACCACTGGTGACCACACCAAAGGAGAGAAATCCTACACTGAAAAAAATGTTTAAAAACAACAAAAAATAAAGAACAGATTAAGTGGGCTGACCTACAGGATATACTCAGCTCTGAAACAAGATGAGATCTTGTCATATGTGATAATAACATGGAAGGACCATGTAGTGTTATGCTAAGTGAAATAAGTCAGAAGGAGAAAGATAAATACATCATTTCACTTACTTGTGTGCAAAATAAAGCAAAAAAAAACAAAGCCTTAGATCTGACAAAAGAATGATAGTTACCAGAGGGGATAGGGTGGTGGATCAGGTAGAGGGATCGATTGATTGGTGATAGATGGAAATGGACATTTCGTGGAGAGATGGTGGGATATAGTTGAGGTGAGAAACCTGAACCCTACACAATTCTGTAAACTACTAAAACCTCAATTAAATGAAAACCAAAAACAGATAGGTGGTGTTGATAGCAGTGGCGGCAGAGAATGGGTACTGCACTAACTTTCAAAGGTGACTTTCAGTGAGTTTTGCAATAAGCCCAGGTCATACTTTTTAAATGTTTCCCCATGGCGGGGGGGGGGTTGTTTCCACCAAGGGGGAAACACCATGTGCTGGGGGGGACAAGCCCACCTCCCAGGTCTACCAGCAAGGACATGGCAGACCAGGAACTCCCGACTCTAGTGTCTGTTGTATTAGCATCTATGGAAATACCTATGCAGGTGGCAAAGGGCAAAGAAGTGGAGGCCCCACAGGCCTGAGCTTACCCTCTGACTCTGACTCCTCCTCCTCTTCTTCCTCCTCCTCTTCATTGCTTTCATCCTCACTCTCTTCCTCTTTGGCAATTTTCTGCCGAGCACTCTTAAACACTGACTGTAAGACGATGGAGTCTTCATAGATCTGATGGGACAAAGTGGCATCTGTTAAGAATGGCAAGCTGAAGGCCCATGAGCCATGATTGCAGCATGCTCGTCTCTTTGTCATGTAACACTTTGGCTTAATTTTACATGAATTTGAGTAGAAACATCAATGTTAGCTTTTGTGCCTACAGGGAAACCTAGTAGGAAAATGCCAAAGCCAAATATAGACACATATCCATATAGGAAGAAGTTAACTGGCAGTTGAAATAATTTCAAAATCTGCATGTATGTGTATGCACACCTGGGAAAGGATTTCCATAAGACAGTCTCATTTTTGATCAAATAGTACCCTACACCGACATTTTTTATTTGAACTGCTCTATCAAATACTTTCGTGATACTATGGTAAAGCAACCTTTTTCACAATGTAATTCCTATAACAAAACAGAAGCTATTTGTTAATGAGTTTATCAGTACTGGCTAATACTCAGCCAACCAATACTTTTGTTTTCAGTGTATGCACACACCTGAGTACAGTGCTGCATAGATACTGAGAGAGACGAAGTTCAGAAATAGTCCTTTTTGAGAAATAGTCCTCAAACAATTAACACAGTACCATAAGCTACAGCAATCCCACATCTGGGTATATAGCCAAAAGAATCAAAAGGAGGATCTGAAGAAGGTATTTGCACGCTTATGTTTAGAACGAGGTTACTGACAATAACCAAGAAGCGGGAACAATGCAAATGGCCATCAACTGATGGTAAGCAAAGTGGGTACATATGCACAATGGAGTATTAGTCAGCCTTAAAGAGGAAAGAAAACCAGTCACATAGTATAGCATGGATGAACCTTAAGTATATTATGCTAAGTCAGTCAAATTAAAACAAATACTGTGTGATTCACTTACATGTGGTATCTACAGTAATTAAAATTATAGGGAAAGAACAGTGTTTATCAGGACTAGGAGGAAATGGGAGTTGTTTAATGGGTACAGAGTATCCATTTTATAAGATGAGAGACTTCTGGATATCTGTTACTGGACACTACTGACGTGTACATTTAAAATGGTTAAGGTTAAGGTGATTAACTTTTATACATTTTACCACAAATAGAAATTAAAGGAGAGAGAAGGTGGTTCTTGCTCTCTAGGAGGGTGTTCCTTTATCTTCAAGGTAAGTCGCA